TGCCCGCGACAGGAGACGAATCGAATGAGATACGCGGTGACTCGAATCAGTTTGGCCCAATCCGAATATTATGAGGCAAGATCCCACGGCGTGGGGACTCTCGCCGCGTGCGTGGTGACAATCTTTTCTTCTATGGAAGTTTCCGTCAGGGGGGAGGGACGACCCTCGGGCCATCGCGTCGCGGGGAACTTGAGCCATGGTGGTCCCTGCCACCATAGTGGGTGAGTTGCGAGTTCGTGCCCTAGTATTCCGCGCGATGCACAATCTGCTGGATTTTCGGCGGTCGACACGTGACGCCAAGTCACATCGGGGAGACGGGACTGAATCTCAGCGACGCGGTTCGCGACGAAAGTCTTCCATCTCGACGGGTGTTGACGTAACCACGCAAGCACGAATTCTGCGTCGATCCAGCAATAACACGCGGAGGAATCGATCCTGATCGATTCACGAACGAAAGTCATTACGCGCGCGAGTAGCAACGCAGCGAGTAGCTCCAACCGGGGAACGCTTAACGTTTTTACCGGAGCGACTTTCGATTTTCCCATAAGCAGAGATATAGTTATACGGCCAGATTTGGAGATTACGCGCAGGTAGACAGCGGCGGCGTACGCGACGTTAGACGCATCGGCGAAGCCGTGCAGTTCGCAACGATCAGAGTCCGACTCTTGACCGGTCCACCGCGGCAAGTGTAGCTCGTTGAGCGCGGATAATTGATTGTAAATCGGTTTCCACTCGCGCAATATGTCATGAGGGAGCGTGTCGTCCCACTCGAACTTAAGACGCCACAACCGTTGCATCAAAATTTTTGCAGTGATCGTGACGGGAGTCACCCAACCGAGCGGGTCAAACAGTTTCGCGATCGCGGAAAGAATCGATCGCTTTGTTTGCGGAGCAGGGGCGTCGGTAGCCGTTTGAAATTGAAAGATATCGCGCGCAGGGTTCCAACTGACCCCGAGGATTTTCAAACTTTCATCCGTTTTCAAAATTTTGTTGCACGCGAGTCCGTGATTCGCGGGATCAATGTCCGACAAAAGCTCCGAATTATTACTGGCCCATTTTCTCAACTCAAAGCCACCTTTCCGTAGGAGGGCGATGAGTTGATCGCGGGCGATACGGAGGTCCTCGAGGCGATGCGCGCCGAAGAGAGTTTCGTCGATATATTTCCCTTTCTGGAGTATGAAAACAGCTAAGGGAAATGCCTGTCCTTCGTCGTTTACCAACTGATCGAGTACGCAAAGCGCTAAGTACGGAGCGGCCGCGGTACCATATGTGACGGTGAGAAGGATGTATTCGCAAAGCGGATCAGTAGGACGTTCGCGCCAAAGAATGCGTTGATACGTTACATCACGCGGGTCGACACGAATTTGCCGATACATTTTAGTCATGTCGGCCGTGTACACGTACTTGAATAGTCGCCATCGCAGGATGATCGCCGGTAGATCAGGTTGAAGTTTGGGTCCGACCAGGAGATGGTCGTTTAACGAGGACCCGTTTGACGTTGCGCAAGACGCGTTGAAGACGACGCGCAGATGACTCGTGGCGCTACTTTCTCGCATGACCGCGTGATGCGGGATGTAAACGCGTTGCTCTTCCGCGTCATCTGAAGCGGGCACCTCGATCATATGCCCGAGGGTTTCGTACTCGCGTAAAAATTCGGAATACTCCCGTTTTTGCTCTGGATGAGCATCTAATCTTCGAGTTAAGCCTTTGAGATGGTGCTCGGCGACACCTCGAGAATGACCTATTTCGATAAGGGGACCGGCCCTAAACGGAAGGCGGACCATGTATCTGCCATCGGGACAACGTGAGTGGGTGCGGCGAAAATGCTCCTCACATTGCGCGTCTTCCGGGTTAAGATGTGTCTTATGCGGAAGTTCCTCGACCTCCCAGAATTTTCTAAGCTCCTGATCGAGGGACAGATTAAGGCAGTGATGTGCGCTCACCCGGAGTGGCGGTTGTTCCGATGCTGCGACCGACGTAATATGCGACTCCACCTTTGAAGGTGGGATGGGCCCCGAGATCACCCATCCTAGTACGGAGTTTTGAGCGATCGGCTGTCCGACCGTTCCCTTGCGGAGCCCGTCAACTATGAGGACGCCGTAGAGATCTGCACCGACTATTATATTGATGGGATCTGCGCTCATGGGGTCGTGGTCAGCCCATGGGAGATCTGCTAGGTGAGCTAAAGTATGCTCCGTTGTCATACGCTTCGGCGCGTATGACGTTAACGATTTCAGGATTAACGCGTGCGTAGAGAATACCGGAGTCTGTTTGTTTTTCGGCGAAATATTTACTTGAGCCGCGTGTTGATATGTTCCGGCGTGTACACCGCCGACAGCCG